TAAGTAACATTTTGAATGCAGGACTTTTACTTGTAACAGTGTTTTTACTTAAGTAGACGATGTACTTTTTCCACCTGTTAATAATTTAGTGCCCCTGTAACTATCTGGCAAGCTCTTGGATTCATCTTGTGACCCTTGGGTCAAGGTGGAGTTCGTTTTAACTTCATGCTGTATATTGTTGAGTAGTTAAGGTATCCCAAAACTGTACTGTTCCTTTTTTTATTTCAACCCATTTCTACCATTTGTTCACCTGTGCAGGTACATTCTTCTATCTCCTGGAGGACACTGCCCATCCTTGTCTATCCATCTCTGAAGATGGCTTCACCATATTTTATGGAGATGAGGAGCTGCCAATTACTGCAATGGCCTTAGATGATAACACCTTTACCAGGTAAAGTACATGGTGGCTAAAGATAATTGGAACTTGAGTCTTAAGCTTGATTTTATTCTGCGTTTAATCTACGTGGATGCAGATGTGTAGCAGTCCTGGGGGATTTGATTCCAGTGCGAAGCAGGCATTACTGGGAAGTCAAGGTGGATGACGAGACAGAGTTTAGGATTGGAGTTGCATATCAGGCCACAGAGAGGAACTCATACCTTGGAGCCAACAATACCTCCTGGTGTATGAGGCACATTCTCACTCCCTCCAGGTAACAATGCACCATGTCTGCTGACACAGCGCCACTGTGGAAATAATCCACTTGTTTTGCCTCTGACAGTAGTAGAGATGGGAAACAGGAGGCAAAATGGAGGGGTATGACATGCAACAGTGGAGAAACTGGCTTTGATTTTCAAAGGACTTCACAGACCAAGCAGATGCAGATTTTCCAGCCAATACGACTTGAGAATGATGCAGACTACTGAAGTTCATGGAAAATGGGCCAAGAGTATTTTTAGCCACAATAAATTTTCCTTTCCCAAGCAAATATTTCTGCATCAGCTCAATGCTAAATTAAGCAGACTGGAGGCCCATCGTTAATTATTTTAAGTGTTGCTATGGCAACTCTTCTCGGAATAGAGAACAGTTGAATTGTGATACTCAGCAAAACATTCAGCATAGCCCATCACACAAGCCCTGAATCTGGTTTCCTTTTGTGGGCATCATCTTGATGGTTATACCTGAGTGCAATTTAATGTGCAGACTTATCATTTTCTTTAAGATTCAGTATCTGCTTCAACAATGGCTGAAAGAGTGGGAGCATTATCTCAACAGACTGATAAAAGTTTTGCACATGGCATTTCTTTACTATACAATCAATGTTGCCCTCTATTTTTTAAGGCATAAGTACGAGTTTCTGCACAACGGTTGGAGTCCTGACTTGAGGATTACAGTGAACCCAGTGCGCATAGGAGTAGCACTGGACTACAGTAGAGGGACACTCTCCTTCTTCAATGTGGATCTGGAACAGCATCTACACACCTTCCACTGTCACTTCCAAAATTATGTCCACCCGTGCTTTGGCCTGGACAACCCTGGAGCGCTTACTGTACACAACCGTATAGAGGCCCCTAAGTATGCATTTATCTGACACCAGCAATCATAACTAGTATCACAAAATAAAACCCTAAGGTTGTTAGGGAGTGAAATAACTTGCTATCAATTGTTACCTAAGTTCTGGGTCACAGTCCCAATAAAGAAAACCATAACATTGTGAATATCCAAATTCATAAAAAACACTGATGTTTCTCAGCAGCATAAGATGTGTGGGCAATAAAGGATTTTGTTGCTTTTATTATAGTATTCCATGGGAACAGGCATACACCATTTTCCAAAATAAGAAAAAGTTTCACTGAATTTTACAGTAAGTATACCATCACTAACTGCAGCAGACCAAGTGTTGAAAAGGTAAGAAGGGATTGTTTTTGACTATCAAAATATGCATCAAAAGCTAAACAAGAAAAAAATCAATTTGTAGTTGTAACAATTGGACTCACTTCTGTAAAGGACAAATCCACCCTGCATATTTTTACACTGTTAAAAAGACTACTGCTGATGCGATTTGCTTTTCTGGACCTACTCTCTCTTAGTGGTGTAGATCATTTTTACTTCAACGGAAAATTTAAGAGCCTGGCAACTGCACATTTTAGAGTCAGACCCTTGCAGTAAAAAAAAAAGGTTTCCATTAAGACAGCAACAACATGAGGAAAACTGAAAAGACAAAGACGGTATCCTGAAAATTCTCTCATCATAAGACATACATGTGCAATGACAATGAACTAGTTGGCAAGCTAACTATACTTCTACATTTGCTTTATACATGGGCATACATTTAAATATGTCTTCACTAATCAGTTCACACCTGTTGTGAGGCATTACAGAAAGGCATTCTGGGGATGCATGAAAGAAATGAAAATAAGAAGTACACTACTCAAAACCCACAATAGGACAAATAGCCTTGCAAAGCACCAAACATCTGCAAGAGGCTATACAGTTCATTAAATGTTTTCTTTTTTTTTCTCCAGTCAACTTGTCTCCTATCCAAAAGTGGATCTTAGTACATTAACCGTTACCAGACATTTCAAACCAGGGTCTTAAGGAGATTAAAGAAAAACAATAAATCATCATTGTAGTAAACGGCAAATCACTAGCACAGTCCTAAAACAGTGTCTGACAATGCAAAGGTGGATTTTTCCTTGGATGGGGTTTGAGTTTGAGATTTGTTTTGATATAATAGATGTCGACTTTGGGTCTCTGGGTATCCTGTGGGGGCGGGGCGGGGGCAGGTGTTGTGAGCTATGTCTTACTGCTGTGTGTTCTCTCCTCCTCTTCATCGGAGGAATCTCCTCCATAGGGCACTAGCCCTGATGCATCTCTGTCCAATTTAGACCTCTTCTCCAACACCACTACTTGAACACCTGTTAGGGCACAGTAAAAATGGAGAGAGAGAAAAACAAAGGTGGGAGACAAGAGAGAGAGATGGGAGGCAAAGAGAGAGGGGGGAGAGACAAAGCAAGAGAACAAAACAAAAAGGAAACCCATTGAGGAGCCCCATGTTAGCGGTGGTTTTTGAGTTGGTTTGATCCACAGCCAGGGGAGGGAAGATATCAAATGAAACGGCAGCACAGCACATCCATTACAGGCAGGTCCGGGACATGTTGAGAGAGAAAACAAGGGAAAGACAAAAAACATATACAAGAAGAGTGTGTTAGTGGGTTCAACCACTGGAGAGTCACAAAGGTCTCCACTCCTCCCCCATTCCTCCAAGAGGGGAGATGCCATTTCATGCAACAGACAACTCCATGGAAGAAATGTCTCAAAACTCAGGCTCTCAGAATATAAGAAAATAAAAAAAATAAAAAAGCATACCCAATGATGCTGTGCTACTGGGCAGGCTGGCCTGATCATCTGTCACTATTTCTCTTGGCCTTTTGCGTGCAATAGGGACAGGGGCCACAAAGGGAGGTGGTGGTGGCATAAGAAACCTGGAGATTGAAGAGCATCAGTATCTACACCACTAAAGATTGCTGAAGAATAACACATTAAGGAAATGAAATCGATTAAGAGACCTTTCTATGACTTTTTCTTCTCCAACACTGGAGGCAGGAAGCACAGACTCCTGATGAGCAGGATCATCTGGGGAGCAGCTGGTAGGCTGCACAGAAAAGTAAAAAACAACCCCACAAACATTTAATACAAATAAAAACTTGCATATAAAGAAAAGGTATGGCATCCAAGGGGGGGGGGGGCAATATTGTGAAAATATTTGCAAGTGCTTAGGGCTCCTTATTGTTAAACACAAACTCCAGGTGAAAATCAAGGCATTAAAGCACGGTCTACTGTAGAAAAAACTAGTTTTATTGTCACTAAACAGCTGTATAATCAGCAGCAATAATTTGGCATTTATACAACTCACTAGGCACAAAAAGAGATGGCTTGCATGTAGGACAAAAACTGACTACTTTTCATGTCAAATGTCTGGTTCTGCAATTTCTGTGATGAAGCAGCGGTGATTGAGCTTCTCCATTCTCTGTGAATGGTGAAGATCAGATTCAACTAGGTCAATCAATGAGTAAGAGACAACGGCCTTTCAGTAACATACACAGGTGTTTCTCTTCAGCTAACCTGTTCTTCCTTTGCCCCCTCCTGGAAATGATGTTTGGGACTTCCAGAGTCAAGGGGAGATACTTCAAGGTCCACTGTCTTACTGCTGCCAGGATCCTTAAGTAGAGCAAAACCAACACACACACACACAAAGATCAACCATGACATTATGACCACTAACAGGTGCAGTGAATAACACCGATTATCTTGTTACAGCAGCACCTGTCACTGTGTGGGGTATATTAGGCGGCAAGTGATCATTCACTCCTTGAAGTTGAGGTATTGAAAGCAGGAAAAATAGAGTACATAGATCTGCATAACTTTGACAAGGGTCAATTTGTGACAAGAGAGTGAGAGAATCTCCCAAAGTACAAGTCTTGTTGGGTGTTCCCAGTCTGCACTGGTTAATACCTAACAAAAGTGGTCTAAGAACAAACAGTGAACCGACAACAGGGTCATGGACATCCAAGGCTCACTGATGATGAGGTTGACCTACTGTAGATTAAACTTTCATTCATAAAATTTCATTCATCCATTTCAAAAGACTCCATTTTGTTTGAATCTTTGAAAATGATAAATACTGTACTGTGGTGATATGACATCTAGAGTGGGGAGGCTGTTGAGAAGCAGCAGCTTTATTTTATTGTCATTGTAACACTGTGACACGTACAACAAAATTTTGTTTAGGCCGCTGCGTGCATACGTGCTGCCATCACAGGCAACTTGGGGGTTCAGTGTCTTGCCCAAGGACACTTCGATATGTGGACTACAGGTACCGATATTCGAATCTTCAACCTTCCGGTTGGGAGACAGCTGCTCTACCCACCACACCACTGTCGCCCCACCGTCGAATTTATCTAAAACATTAACTCCAACTTGTTCTCTCCACCACAGTTTTCACTCCTTTTACACAAGTTTGTCACTGAATGGTCGACACATTCATGCTCTTCCTGACAGTGTAACTATGGAAGCAAACTGATTCAAAGAAGATGCAGTGAGCTACAGAATGACATGAGTGCCAACCAACTGCTGCACTGACTCCTGTGTATACAGTATTATGACAGGTGATCATAATGTTGTGGTTGACCGGTGTGCACACTGATACCACTGTAGCAATGAAAAAAGAAAAACAAAAACCTATCCTTTTTTAGGGCCTTGGTGGGTTTTGTGTATCCTGTCGGTGTTATAATGACCTCAAAATCTTTTAACAGTACGTTTGTGGTGTGCAGATTTAAACTAGAGGTGAAATTACTACATGCGGCAGCTTTAATCTTCAGTAATTACCTGGACCAGATAGGGATGTGGTTTCCGAGGACACACTGGATACTGAACCATTGCCTGAGAAGATGGAGGGTTTGTCGACATGTTAGAATGACTTGGGGGACCATTTGCATTACTCCAATAACCACGCTCTCCTGGATACGCTGAATAGCCACCAGCATACCCATTTGCTGAGTAGTTATACCAGGACCCCTGGCTAGAGTAATTGCTATTAGGAGGAAATCCATGTGCTGCGTATGCTGAAATGAAAGTATAGAATGTGGAATTAATAGCATATATCCCATGGATTAATAACAGCGTGTTTTGACAAACGTGACCTATTGCAAACTACTGTCGAGCTACTAAAGACGTCAAAGGAAGGAATAATTACCACAAGAAGAATGCATGCAGGTAGTGCCTGATACAAAGTGCTGCAGTGTGTCCTAAAACCTGGAAATGAGTTGGCATTTTTGCACTTCCAGGTGCCTCACCCTGAAGTCAATGGGTTTTTCCAATAGATTTTTGGTTAGATGCCTGAAATAAGGTCTGTGGTTAACATGGGGCCAATTCATTTACATGGCTTGTTCTATGATATAAAATAGATCAGTGGATACCCCACTCGTTATTTTTAATGCTTTTACGAGTCTTAAAAAAGGCAGTTGCTAACAAGCGGCTAAATGAGATTACAGAGGCTATCTGGAACATTAGCTGTCATCACACTGAACACAGAGACTCATCTACTCACTAGCCCGCCTTTACAGTCTCATTATGCACTTGAAAACTATTCTAATTGACACAGCCATGATCATCTGCTATATCAGGTCATGGTGCTAAATCAGTTTATAAGCTGGAAGCTGTGGTGGTGACACTGAAGTCATGGAACTGTGGTGTAGTGCCTTTATAGCCTTTTACTTATGGTGATTGTATTTGGGCTTTAAAAATCATAAAAGTGGTGTTCACTGGTGAAGATTATCTTGCTGAACAAAACACATGTCATGCACTGTTTGTCACTGAGCCTGTTATCTGCAATAATCCAAAAACCTATGGAGAAATCCCATTGGCTTTTTTGTTGAGGAATCAGGGTGATGCTAACTTTCGGGCTGGCCTACAAAAATGTGTCGTCCTTACAGCACTATTTGGCCATTCAGTTGGAACTTGCCTGTTTAGTTGCAAGGCATAAAATAATACTCACGCTGTGTTGAGCCTGTGGCTGTGTACATGGACACCATACGGGTATGCTCAGCTCTCACCTGGAGAATGGGGGAGGGGGAAATATGTAAAACACTGCTAGACAAAAATCGTTGAAGTGATTTATTTCAACATTTACTTTGTGGGTAGGTGCAAAGCACGCAGAACCTTATCTCTGAAGATCAGGTGGTTCACACTACCACTTTCACTTTTGGAGGTGGGTATCAGTGAAAACTATATGCCTTAATAGTTTCACCTTCTTATACCTCCCTCTAGGTTCTCATTCAATTATGATCAGTTCAGCAACTTCACAAATTTAGGGAAAAAAATATCGTGAACTCACAGTTTCCAGCAGACTCTCAGTGAGTTTCTTTGCTGCCTCCAATCCAGCTGCATTTGGGTGGCTGAAACACAAAACAGACCACTTAAAGAGGAACATACTCAGGAAGAGACTGACACAGAGTAAAAACATTTATAACATTTATATGACAGCTGCATTCTCAGATGGCGGTTACAGTCACAAATGAATCAAAAGCTGAAACCAAACAACATGAATTTGAACGTGTTGCCCTCAGTTATTTAAACAATTAACTTCTGTACACCAAGCATGTCCAGTCATGTCCTATTACAATTTAGAGAATTTTTCATTAATTGGATAAAACCAAAACCCCTCCTTGTGGGCACCCGTTAAGAATAAACACGGTTCTCTAACAAAAAGCTATTCAAATGATGACTGACTTCTATGCCACCAGCTTCTACTGAAACCTAAGTGGAACTTCTGTTCCTATACTCCAAAACAGATGCTGTTTAAGTTCAAAATCTGTAAAAACCTTGAACACTTTTTGTGATATGACCAGTTGAGGGACATCTTTTGAGGTAGATGTAAGGTAAATATGACTTATGTAATTGCCTGGGTGTCCAGACTACATAGCGGGGGGATTTCTGGCACAACTTCACCCACTGTCAAAGTACATGAAGGAAAAAAAAAAAAAGAAATCAATCTTTAATGGTAAAATTCTTTTTTAAAAATCCAGTAAAACTTGCTGTGTAAACAATCTTATTGCTAGACCAACACATTTCCCCTTGCCTCTGCCAAATTAAGACATGTGACTGAAAACTGCTTGACTACATAGTCAACATACTGTACCTATGTGCTAATGCTATGTATATGACTGGTTACCTTTAAATAATAGTTTAACCTTTGACCTTTGTCAATGACTTTTGTCTCATGCCTGTTTTATTTAAATGTTCTTTGTTAGGCGTTTTCACAATGACCCTGACAAAGGCCACAAGCCAAAACATGTCGGTCTGGCAATAAAGGTCTTCTCTACACAGCAAGTGCTGTTAATGTTTCAACCTGTTTGTCCAGTCTGTCAACTCGAGCTGTTACATTTACAGTGCTACTAGCACAACCACATCAGACACGGAAAACTTGAAAAGTTTGTAAAGGTGAACAATTAAAGTTAACATACCTGATGTAGACATAGAGAGGCTCAAAAGACTCTCGTTTTGATGCTTGTTCAATGTAGCCAGAACCTTTTCCCCTGAGGAACACACGAGCTCCCGTCTCTGTCTGGATGTGAGTCAGGTACGAACCTCCTGGACCCTCAACCTTCTCATTCACGTTGAACGAAGGCAATGCCTGGTCCAGACCCACAAATATCTTGGTGTGCACAAAACTCTGAGGGTGGGGTAGAGTGATTTATTGATATGTCCTGTATCTAGCTTTTTTACTGACATCTAGTGTAAATCTGACTAATGCTAATACAACAGCTTTGTAAGCAGATGCAGTAATCCAAGGCTTTTTCTTGTAGACCACGGATGTTCTGTCTGCTACTTTAATTTGGGAGGTGGGTATCAGTGAAGGCAACAGTCTTCATTTGCCTCACCTTCTTTACCTCCTCTTGTAATATTCTGACTCTAGACACAATGAGAAGCCAAGTACAATAAATATTCCACACAGAAGACTATGTATAATTATCTACCTTGGATGTTCAATAGTTACTTTATATGGAAATGTTAAACATCCCACGAAGAAAACATAACACATTTTGGGTTTCTTTTTAACCATAGAACTAGCCACAGTGTCTACAACCTCGTACTTACAGAATAAAGAAAGATATAGATAAAAAAAATAAGCATTCAGCCGACTGTTTACAGTGCCTATATAAAGTATTCACTCCTTGAGTTTTCAACTTTTGTTACAACACTGAATAAGCTCAATAAATATAATGTGACTTTTTTGGCACTGATCATGGTAGAAATATAAGGCACTAAATAAGCTATTGCATAAGTATTCACCCCCTTCAAATGTGTAATTATTACATGAACCTTTGGCAGGAATTACAACATTGAACCTTTGAGGACAAGTCTCAATTAGCTTTGCACATCTGGTCACTGGAATTTTTCTCCAATCTTCTATGCAAAACTGCTCAAGCTCTATCAGGCTGCATATGGATCATGAGTGAACAGCCTTTTCAAGTTCAGCCACAAATTCTCAATTGGACTGAGGTCTGGGCTCTGGCTTGGCCACTCCAGAACATTTAACATTGTTCCTTTTGATCTATTTCTGTATGGCTTTGGCTGTATACGTGGGCTCATTGTCCTGCTGGAAAACAAATCTTCTCCAAATTCACAGCTCTCTTGCAGATGGTATTAGGTTTTCCCTCTATTTTACTGCATCCATTTTACCCTCTACCTTCATAAACCTTCCAGGGTCTGCTGCTAAGAAGAATCCCCACAACATGATGCGGCCACCACCATGCTTCACGGTGGGGATGGTGAGTTTGTAATCACGTGCAGTGTTTGTTTAGGCCAAACACAGCATCTAGTCTGATGGCCAAAAAGATCCATTTTCGTCTCATCAGACCATAGAACCTTCCTCCAGCTGATTTCGGTGTGTCCCACATGCCTTCTGGCAAACTCCAGACAAGATTTAATAAGAGCTTTTTACAACAGCTACTTCCTCTTTGCCACTTTCCCATAAAGCTTTGACTGATGAAGAACATGGACAGTTCTTGTATGCACAGTCTCACCTTAGCTGCAGCAGCTTGTAACTCCTGCAGAGGAATCACAGATACCTTGGTGGCCTCCTTCACTAGTACCCTTCTTGCACAGTAACTCAGTTGTTGAGGGCAACCTGCTCTAGGCAGATTTACATGTCCCATATTCCCTCCATTTCTTAATGATGGATTTAACTATACTCCAGCGATATTCAGTGACTTGGAAAATTTCTTGCATCCATCCCCTGACTTAAGCTTTTTAATAACCTTTTGACAAAGCTTCTTGGAATGTTTGTTTGTTTTTACAGTGTAGATTTTGGCCAGGATACAGCTTCACTGCAATCACTTGAAAGACATTTACTGCACACAGGTGATCTCCATTTAACTCCATTTACAACTTCTAAAACCAACTTGCTGCACTAGTGATAATTTAGGTGAGTCGCTTTTAAAGGGGGTGAATACGTTTGCGATCTATTTTCTATTTTTAATTTAATTACTTTGTAGAGATCTGTTTTCACTTTTTTGCTGATCACTGTCAAAGAAGCTAAACTAAATCCAACATGACTCAATATTGTTACAGTATAAAAGGTAAAAACTTTCAGGGGAGTGAGTAGTTTTGATAGGCACTGTACATGGTAGAGAACAAATACACTGGAGATGCATCTTAACTATATACCAAGTATTGACAGGCCTGTTTATAAAACAGTCAAATGAATAGTACATGATAAACATTTGGTATTTAACTGCCAGAAAGCACTGTACAAGTTTCACCACTGGTTGTAGAGGCTTGAACTTCACCACAGATGTCATATCTGCTTACCCCTGAATGAGGAGCTGCAGGTCGATGTCCCTGGCCTGGCACCGAGTTGGTGTTTGGCATTCGTGGAACAGGAGGGGGAACAACAGGCCGAGGAGGTTGAGGGTAGAGTGTGAGCGGAGGCATTACAGGCACCTGTTGCCCTCCTGATGCTGCCGAGGCCCTCAACACGTCCTCAGAGATGATTTCCTTTATCCTCATCACAGCCTCTGATATAGCAGAAAAGTCAACAATGTTTGGATATCAGCCATATTAAGCATACCTCGCCGCAAAGACAGGCTTTGGAATGCTAACGGCATTTGTGAAGTAAATTGGGTAACAAAGCCAGATTCATATTGAGCAGATGAAAAATTATGCTACTTACTATTGACCTGTTCTTGGGTCTTTCCCTGGACATGCAAATACAAAGGTCTTTGTCTAAAAGAAAGCAAATCACAAATGTCATGGACAACACAAAACTCATATAGTCCTCCAAACATCTGTTCTTTTCCTAAATTATCATTGTAACTGACTAAAGGGTAAGGCCGATGATTTCCTATTTTTTGGTTATTTTCCATAAATCCAAAACAGGTACTAAAACCGTCAATGAATTTAACGTCTGTGAATCCAGAACATGGATTAGCTTACTGCCTGTGCTGCAGACCTCCATCGTTGTCTGAAAACTGTTAAACACAACAGTGAGCCACACTGCTGCACTGAGTGACACGTTTCCTCCTCACAAAAACTGTGGGACTAGTTTTATGTCAAAAACAACCTCCAGGTGCTAAGAACATACATTACTTTTATGCAGTCTCTAAAGAAAGAAGGAGAGGAGTGTGCAAGTGTGACCTCTGCCCTGTTTGCACAACTCCACTAGCTTCTTGTATTGTTAGCTGAATGGCATTACATGCTACAAACACAAAAATGTGCAGCTGATTGTTACTTCAATACAGTGGCTAACTGGTGTGCTTTTAACAGTTTTCAGACAACAATTGAGGCCTACGGCACAGACAAATAAGCTCAACATGGCTCTAAATTTACAAGCATTACAGCAAGTACCCAAAGTCCACTGTTGGGTTTAGTCTCTGTACGCAATTTGTGGGAAATAAACAACAAAAAAATATTACATGATTATATTGCATGACCAGCCTTAACCTTTAATCTATTAAATGGACACTGCACATATTAAATTTTTGTTGGAAAGCAATAAGCGTAAACAAGATTTGTAGGACAGTGCTCCTTGTATAGCTTACGGCAACTAGTGAAAATAAACTATATTAAGATTATGATTTCTTTCATTGAACAAATAAGACTCATCTACTATCTTGCATCAAATTAGCCATTCTTATGATTGATGTGAAACTTTAATAAATGGAATACTTCTTTTGCAGGAACAAGATCATGTCCTACATACATACCCTCCTCCTCCTTTTCCCTTTTCAGCTTCAGTCATATAATGACCTTTTGTTGAGACAACTGCTCCACTTATCAGTCGGATCTGAAAAAAGAAATTTGATAAAAGCATGAGGGATTTTCAAAAAATGTCTACTTTAAGCCTTTAAATTAATTTAAACTACATTATCACTTTCCACATTTTATAATAGTGTGGTGTATCAGATGTAACACTGCCATGGTCACTTTCCACTTACTTCCTCCTGTGTTTTGCCTTTAGTAAGAAGGTCTCTGCAATTTAGTGGTACATCATTTATGTCAACCTCTGTGATCACCATCTCTTCTGCAGCGGTGGGCACAGGCACACTTGGAGGGGTCTAAAGGACATGCCAAACGACAAGTGAAAGTGTAAGCCATCAAATGACAAGACGTTTGGTTGTTATTCGCTACAGCTTTTTAATTTATTTGCACCTTTGCAAGTAACGGTGGAGGAGTCAATAGCTTTCCTTTTGCCATTAACATGGCATTTATTTTAGCAGCCATGGCTGCAGCCATTTTAACTCCTCCCTGAGGTGCTGGCCTTTCTCCTGTTTGTGGTGACTGGGAAACTGTGTTGTTTGAACCAGGAGTGCTGACAACTCCTGGTAAATGGATGGGGTGAGCTGCATCTTCACTACTCTTCTGCTGCCTTACAGCTATACTCTGTTTAGGTTGGGCTGGCTGATCCCATCGGCTGGTTAGGCACCTGAGAATAAAACAACAAGCAAAGACAAACTATAAAATTAGAATGCTTTAAATAAAACAAACATCATAAAAGTACAAAGCCAAAGTAAAATGAAGTTTTGAAATGAATGTTGAGAAACTAATCTTTATAACGTTATAAGTGGTGAAATACACTGCCCAGCCACTTAAATAGATTACATTGAGGAGATGTCTCTGTATATTTGTCCTACATACTGTATATGAGAGGGTAGAAATATTAGAAACACGTCCGAATATATTGTAGTCCAGTACAACACCACCTTTAACTATGACCTCAATAATAAACATTTAAAGCTATACATTTATGACAATTTCACCAAAAACAAACATTGAGCTTCATAAACACATATGTTAAGGGGGAAATGTTACACTGAAGTGCATTCAATGATCCAGGTTGACTATTAAAGCAGCCGGGCAGTGTCAAGACTAAAACGGCAACTTTGGCTGAGTTAAAAAGAACTACAATCGCATAATGACCTATGTAGCTCAAACACCGGCACTGCCCAAACTGTGGTGTGGAACGACCATGACGCCCCACTTTTTTCTCCAATCTTGTACCGTTTGCTTAAACACTTCGATATTTCGAAACATCTTGAAGGAATACATTCAAAATGTGGATAGCTGATTGCAGCCAGTCGTAAACCGCCTTATGTCAAGAAAATCTTAGTATAAAGTTAACGTTAAACTGTGGAGCTATCCAGGTCTTTAGTTGATAAATTGTCTTTTTAATGACGACACTGCTTGAATTTTGTGTTCATTCTCAGCGAACGCTAAGATAGCTAAAATTAGGCTGACCTAGCCAGCTAACTTAGCGAGGTACGATCCTGTATTGGACGTACTTAACATTATCTATACAAAATTTTAAAAACGGGGTCAAGTAATCTGATGACATACTTTCAGACCAGACTGGCAGTACTGACTTTAAGCATACAAAATATAGCCCGCCATCTAACGTTAACATTTATTCGCAGGCCATGACTACGCATGCTAGCCAGCTTTAAAGCTAACTCTCATTTAGCTAACAGGCCGACAAAAACCATGACTAGCGCTAGCTTAGCTGGCTAACTTGACGCTCGGTGCAAATGTGGGTGTTAGCACGTTTGACATTACTCAAATTACCAAATATATTTAAAACCGATACTTACGGCGTCTGTCCAGTCATTCCTGAAGACATATCACCACTCCACTAAATATGTAGTAAAATTAAAACTGTTTTATTATAGTTGGACGACGACAGCCATAAGTCTAATCTCTCTCACGCCGACTGTTTCTTCTGACGACCTGTCGCAAAGTCTGGCGACAGCGGAACGAAACTGTTCTCGCATTATGTAACACTAAAGAAATGTTGTCTACTTTAACTTATACAGCATAGAATGCGACTTAAAGTTATATTGGGAGATTTCCAGCAAATTGGTGATGACTGAATATGACGAAACAAATGAATACACAAAAATTCAAAGCTGCTTTTTCACGAGTTCATGCCTATTACCAGATAAACATTTTTGGGGGTCTGGAACTAAGACAGGCCCCCATTAAAGGTATAGTCTGCATAAGATTTTGTCTATCAGATGTGTCTTGTAATATAATCTAGCTACAGGGGTTGCAAGCTAGTGACCTGTGCCGGTCCCAAGCCCGGATAAATACAGGTATGTGCCAAAAAATTAGAATATCGAGGAAAAGTCCATTTATTTCAATAATTTGTTTCAAAAAGTGAAACTTGTATGTTATATTAGTTCACTACACACAAAGTGAAATATTTCAAGCCTTTATTTGTTTCAATTTTGATGATTATGGATTAAAGACAAAAAAAACCCAAATCCAGTATTTCACAAAATTAGAATATTTCATGTGACCAATAAAAAAAGGATCTTAAACACATGTTGGCCTTCTGAAAAGTGTGTTAATGTACTGTATTATGTCCTCAGTACTTTGTTGGGCCTCCTTTTGCATTAATTACTGCATCCAGGCGGCGTGGCATGGAGGCGATCAGCCTTTGACACAGTTGAGGTGTTATGGTAGCCCAAGTTGCTTTGATATTGGCCTTCAGCTTGTCTGCATTTCGGGGTCTGTGTTCCCTCATCGTCCTCTTGACAATACCCCATAGATTTTCAATGGGGTTTAAGTCAGGTGAGTTTGCCGGCCAATCAAGTACAGTTATTCCATGGCTATTAAACCAGGTACTGGTAATTTTGGCTGTGTGGGCAGGTGCCAAATCCTGCTGGAAAATAAAATCTTCAGCTCCAAAAAGCTTGTCGGCAGCAGGAAGCATGAAGTGCTCTAGAATTTCCTGGTAGACAGCTGCGTTGACTGTGGACTTGATAAAAGACAATGGATCCACACCAGCAGATGACATGGCTCCCCAAACCATCACTGACTGTGAAAAATTTCACACTGGACTTTAAGCAGCTTGACTTTTGTGCCTCTCCGGTCTTCCTCCAGACTCTGGGACCTTGATTTCCAAATGAAATGCAGAATATGCTTTCATCTGAAAACAGGACTTGGGACCACTGGGCAATAGACCAGTACTGTTTCTCCTTAGCCAAGCACAGACGCTTCTGACGTTGTTTTTGGTTCAGGAGTGGCTTGACGCATGGAATTCTACAGCGGTAGCCCATGTCATGTAGACGTCTGTATGTGGTGGTTCTTGATGCACTGACACCAGCCTCAGTCCACTCCTTATGAAGCTCCCCCAGATTTCTGAATCGCCCTTGCTT